CCCCCCCAAGAAAAAAGCAAGTGTTCATTCACCGATGTGACCATATTTTTCTTAATTTTCTCTTGAAGACTTTCAGCAGGTAAGAGATATAGGAGACTGGCTCCATACTGTGTTGGATACAGGATCAAATTGTAATAATAATAACAGCAAACAGCAGGTCCCATAACATGTTCAAGATTTTGAAACCAGGAATAAAACAATCAACTCAAGTTAGGTGGGTGTCAGGGTATAACAGATGAATCATGTTAGTTTTAGTTGCTCCTGCATTCATATATATATATATATATATATATATATATATATATTTAAAAAACCAAATCAAAGCAAAAATAAAACATGAAGTTCTTTCCATCTCACATATGAATATATGTGGTATAGAATATATATATATGAGAGAGAGAGAAAGAGAATCTGTGTATTCTTCAAAATGAAACTAAACATTTTTATTTTTATTTTTGAAGGAGAAAATATGCAAAATCTGGAAATGATCATTTGGGCAATGGGATGTATGCACTTGAGCAAACCCAAAGGACTAGATCCCAGGAAACCTCTTTTCCTCTTCCCTAGAGTAACACTCTACACATTTTGGAGACCCAAGGAAGGAAATAATAGTTTGGCAATATTAATATCTAACTAAATTAATATCTAACTAAACTGTCCAGTTGAGAGACACTCTGTTATTCTTCTACATCTAAAATAGTGACAGTTAAAAGTTTCTGCATTTACTACTTACTTGCATATTTGTAACTAAGTAATGTCTCCTGGACTGAACCCCCCCCCCCCCTCCAAGCTCACCTTAACAGACCAGCCATATCTGTGACATAATGACCATGTTTAAAAATTCAAAAGGATGTCATATTGAGGATCTTTTCTTCTGGAAGGGGCATTTACAACCATGTCGATAGTGCCATGATTGTAACTACATAGTCTTACTGAGTACAAAGCAGCTATGGAGTGGTAATTCTATGTTACAAATCTGTAACTGCAATGAGAATGCCAGCCCTTTTCTCTACATTATTTGGAAATGTTTGAGGGGAAATAGCAACATTTTGGAAAATCTTACCAGTCTCTCATGATAGGGTTGGCATGATAGATTTTGGTCCAGTGCCATATCTTAGGGGGAAACCTTATTCTTATTTTTTTGTGGGTTTTTCGGGCTGTGTGGCCATGTTCTAGAAG